CTGGCTGTATCATTATTGAACGCAGTGTAGTATGTATGTTTGCTTGTCGTTAGGGGGACATTTGAGTGAGCGAGCCACTTACAGAGCTTGCTAGGCTTTATGAACAGGGAGGGATTCTGGGAAGGGACGTCAAAACCGCGCCGTTTTTGTTGGAAACGGGACTAAGCCTTGGGAGAGACCTCGAAGGTGCGTGAGCTATTTTCATTTACCCGGAGCTCCTGCCCCCTATTAGGCTTAGTCTTGGAGGATGCCCCTATATTGTGATAGCACCCAACTTTCGTTCTCCTTGGCGTTTCTCCCTTCCCGTGAGCTTAGACCTACATAGTGTCACCTTCCGCGGTATTTGAATGCCCTGTCTTGAATCCTCCCCCCCCCCCCTCAAGGAAATGAGCACCTTCAAATGCTTTCTTTTGATAATATTAGTTTGTCCCAGAAATTCTGGATCTCGCGCCGAAAATTCCATTAGCTATTTCTGAATATGTTTGCATGAGCTGTGAAAAGCGCACCCGGTGTATCCGGCTCACGCCCGCCATAGCTGCTCCTTGAAAAAAGAAGAGAAAAGAGAACTGCGCTTGCCAGGCAATTTTTCATGTTCTTCTACTGGACTTCATACAACGTGCTCGAAGCCAAACGCAACATTTGCTGCACGGTAGATGTTGCTGTGGTCACCCGTCCAGCGCCATCGGAATGGTTAGATCTCCTTCTTCTATGCCCTGGAAAAACATTCATTGTTTTGTTTGTTAACTGCTGTTTTTTGGCCGCAGTTCGCCTTGCGAATGTTTCACAAGAATGCTGGGTTGTGAACAAAACTTTCGCCCCAGGCGGGACTAGAACCCGCACCTCTCGCTTTCCGGGCAAGTGGCTTTCCGGGTGCGGTTCTAGTCCCGCCTGGGGCGAAAGTTTTGTTCACAACCCAGCATTCTTGTGAAACTGATTCACTGTTTCAAGAAGGTCGTCAATGTCCGTTGGACTAGCTGTGCTTTCCCACTGGAGCCAATTGAGATACTCGAGATAAATTGCAGGGTGGCCACCACAATGCATGTTGCAGGTGCACAGTTTTAGAGGTTCTCCATTTCCACGTTGAAACAGTCGAAGCTCTGCGAAAGATTTCCTCATGAACTGACGACCGATGACACAAGTGTGATGAGACAAGTGCAATCTAGAATTACTTTCAGTCTCCCCATATGAACCGTAGTGAAATAAGGTTGCTAGCGAGAAAGTGGGCATCTGACGGGAAGTGACCACTCTATGTCAACTGATGTCACATGACGAAGGGGAAGAGGCTGGATCGACTGGAAGAGGCTAAAGGTCTGCGGGGATGTTCGCGAAGTATCCAGAGAAAACTTCTCCCGCTGCAGTACCGCAACTGGCTACGTCTACTATGCCTGGAACTCATTGGAGTGTGTCCACTTTACAACGACCGAGACTACTGTCGAAGATAGTAACTCTAAATCTTTGAGGCTTAGTTGAGAACTCTAGAAAACTGAAAACTACTATTATACATCCACCTTACAGCGCTGACTAGCCTCCTAAAAGAGCAATCCCCGTTCCCGGTCAGAAGGCCACGTTGCGGTCGCAGATTACAATTTCCAGAGCACCTCCATTGTCTCTTTCCGCTCGAAACCGCCAACCTGCTTGAGTGAGTCACCCACTCTTTGGGTGCTCGTTGGCAACAAGTCACTGATAGTGATGGTGCATACGTTGATGATAGCTGAATTTTTTCCTTTTGTTAGAGAGGCCCCCGTCTCTCCTCTTGACGGTGGTTCAGTCGTTTGTGGTAGCTGAATATCGATCGATTTGGCCGATGCACCAGTTGTAGAATCTGTCGCGGTAGGTACGGATGATGACCGACTCGTGCAGACAGCTCAAACTCAAACTTGGGTAATTAAACGTTTATGCATCATTAATAAACAATAACAATACAACAGTACGACATAACATCAACGAACAACTTCTTAGGTATCAAGGTGAGTAAATACGGTATGAGAATCAAGATGGAAGTGAATAAACGACATGATCTTTAATGAGTCATAGGCAAACCAATAAGACTTAGGAGAGATTCATGACATCAGATAAATTAATGATAAATCAATATACAACATCAATGGCCATGGGTGAACAATCGATAAAGCTAGCAAAATAGAACATGCGAACAAATTGACTTCGAATGATGAGATACGATGGATGAGTGTAAGATAACAAGTGAATGTACGATGAACAAGTGAATTCACGATAAATAAGAATGCGCGATAAACAAGAATGCACGATAAGCAAGAGTGCGCGATAAGCAAGAATGCACGAAATCAAAGGGATGCTCTATCCTGGATGCACAATCCGCGGACGTCTGGAGTAATGAACACTTCAAGGCAAAACATTGGCTTATATATGGGGTTTCCCGCGCGATCTGGGAGTGATCAAATCAAATCAATGATCACCGTCGTGATACTCCCCCCTTGGGGCTGGTCCAGAAC